AAAGCACCCACATAATTATTATGACACGACTAACCCCTTTATTATGACACGACTAACCCCTTTATTATGACACGACTAACCCCTTTATTTTGACACGACTAACCCCTTTATTTTGGCACGACTAACCCCTTTCAATGATAACAAGAGTAAATATTCTGTGTAACAGATACAATTCGGCGAATAAAAAAAAACCCAAAGTATTGATCCTCATGGGAACGAACCAATGTGAATGATACTCCACCGGAAAAGAAAAGGAAGATTATTACTCATTTTTAGAGTAAATTCCATGTTAAATGGCGTACTTAAAAGAGATATATGTAAGGGGTTTTGAGCAGTAAACAACAAATCATATATGTAAGGCCCAAAAACCGTATATAACGATCTAAAAAAATGCCAAGCTATAAATCTGGTTTGTAGACGTAACTTGCAATTTTCTATGTACGAAAAGGTATGATAAAATAATTTATTAATTAGTTGAATGATTATTACTTGTTAAACGTCCAGTGGCAAATGTTTCATGTATACTAAGGACGAAAACAAATAAATGATTAATACAATGAAAGTTCGACGCGGGCGGTCGTCCAGAATGAAAGACGGGGAAATGAACTGTTGTGGTAAATGAGTGTAGGTTGGGTAGCGGCAGACGTTTTTCCTTGCAACTGACCACCGACAGACCGATCAGAGAAATGTTGCAATGGCTCTTAAATGGCAAAGAGCACATCACTCACCCCACATGAGTCCTCGGTTTAATGTCCCCATTTCGATCGAATGTGGCGGCCTCTTTATACATCCCACACTGAAAAACAGACGCTCTACTTAAGCAAGGGTTATATTGCCGGACGGGAGTCTAAAAATTATCATATTGATTTGTCCCACGTCAACCCTTTAGAATTAATTTTGAAAAGAAAGGTTGAACTTCATACATTATGGCAAACAAACACAAGTACGATGACCTATAACTGTTAACGTTTATGTCATTTTGTTCTGGTGGAGAGGTGTCTCATTGGCATTTATATCACATCTTCTTATTTAACGTAAGGTGACCTATAGCTGTTAACGTCTATGTCATTTGGTTCTGGTGGAGAGGTGTCTCATTGGCATTTATATCACATCTTCTTATTTAACGTAAGGTGATCAATAGCTGTTAACTTCTATGTCATTTGGTTCTGGTGGAGAGGTGTCTCATTGACATTTGTATCACATCTTCTTATCTAACGTAAGGTGACCTATAACTGTTAACTTCTATGTCATTTGGTTCTGGTGGAGAGGTGTCTCATTGGCATTTATATCACATCTTCTTATTTAACGTAAGGTGACCTATAGCTGTTAACGTCTATGTCATTTGGTTCTGGTGGAAAGGTGTCTCATTGGCATTTATATCACATCTTCTTATTTAACGTAAGGTGATCAATATCTGTTAACTTCTATGTCATTTGGTTCTGGTGGAGAGGTGTCTCATTGACATTTGTATCACATCTTCTTATTTAACGTAAGGTGACCTATAACTGTTAACTTCTATGTCATTTGGTTCTGGTGGAGAGGTGTCTCATTGGCATTTATATCACATATACTTATTTAACGTAAGGTGACCTATAGCTGTTAACGTCTATGTCATTTGCTTCTGGTGGAGAGGTGTTTCATTGGCATTTATATCACATCTTCTTATTTAACGTAAGGTGACCTATAGCTGTTAACGTCTATGTCATTTGGTTCTGGTGGAGAGGTGTCTCATTGGCATTTATATCACATCTTCTTATTTAACGTAAGGTGACCTATAGCTATTTACGTCTATGTCATTTGGTTCTGGTGGAAAGGTGTCTCATTGGCATTTATATCACATCTTCTTATTTAACGTAAGGTGACCTATAGCTGTTATCTTCTATGTCATTTGGTTCTGATGGAGAGGTGTCTCATTGGCATTTATATCACATCTTCTTATTTAACGTAAGGTGACCTATAGCTGTTAACTTCTATGTCATTTGGTTCTGGTGGAGAGGTGTCTCATTGGCATTTATATCACATCTTCTTATTTAACGTAAGGTGACCTATAGCTGTTAACGTCTATGTCATTTGGTTCTGGTGGAAAGGTGTCTCATTGGCATTTATATCACATCTTCTTATTTAACGTAAGGTGATCAATAGCTGTTAACTTCTATGTCATTTGGTTCTGGTGGAGAGGTGTCTCATTGACATTTGTATCACATCTTCTTATTTAACGTAAGGTGACCTATAACTGTTAACTTCTATGTCATTTGGTTCTGGTGGAGAGGTGTCTCATTGGCATTTATATCACATATACTTATTTAACGTAAGGTGACCTATAGCTGTTAACGTCTATGTCATTTGCTTCTGGTGGAGAGGTGTCTCATTGGCATTTATATCACATTTCTTATTTAACGTAAGGTGACCTATAGCTGTTAACGTCTATGTCATTTGGTTCTGGTGAAGAGGTGTCTCATTGGCATTTATATCACATCTTCTTATTTAACGTAAGGTGACCTATAGCTATTTACGTCTATGTCATTTGGTTCTGATGGAAAGGTGTCTCATTGGCATTTATATCACATCTTCTTATTTAACGTAAGGTGACCTATAGCTGTTAACTTCTATGTCATTTGGTTCTGGTGGAGAGGTGTCTCATTGGCATTTATATCACATCTTCTTATTTAACGTAAGGTGACCTATAGCTGTTAACTTCTATGTCATTTGGTTCTGGTGGAGAGGTGTCTCATTGACATTTGTATCACATCTTCTTATTTAACGTAAGGTGACCTATAACTGTTAACTTCTATGTCATTTGGTTCTGGTGGAGAGTTGTCTCATTGGCAATCATACCACATCTTCTTATTTAACGTAAGGTGACCTATAGTTGTTAACTTCTATGTCATTTGCTTCTGGTGGAGAGGTGTCTCATTGGCATTTATATCACATATACTTATTTAACGTAAGGTGACCTATAGCTGTTAACGTCTATGTCATTTGCTTCTGGTGAAGAGGTGTCTCATTGGCATTTATATCACATCTTCTTATTTAACGTAAGGTGACCTATAGCTGTTAACGTCTATGTCATTTGGTTCTGGTGGAGAGGTGTCTCATTGGCATTTATATCACATCTTCTTATTTAACGTAAGGTGACCTATAGCTATTTACGTCTATGTCATTTGGTTCTGATGGAAAGGTGTCTCATTGGCATTTATATCACATCTTCTTATTTAACGTAAGGTGACCTATAGCTGTTAACTTCTATGTCATTTGGTTCTGGTGGAGAGGTGTCTCATTGGCATTTATATCACATCTTCTTATTTAACGTAAGGTGACCTATAGCTGTTAACTTCTATGTCATTTGGTTCTGGTGGAGAGGTGTCTCATTGACATTTGTATCACATCTTCTTATTTAACGTAAGGTGACCTATAGCTGTTAACTTCTATGTCATTTGGTTCTGGTGGAGAGGTGTCTCATTGACATTTATATCACATCTTCTTATTTAACGTAAGGTGACCTATAGCTATTTACGTCTATGTCATTTGGTTCTGGTGGAAAGGTGTCTCATTGGCATTTATATCACATCTTCTTATTTAACGTAAGGTGACCTATAGCTGTTAACTTCTATGTCATTTGGTTCTGGTGGAGAGGTGTCTCATTGGCATTTATATCACATCTTCTTATTTAACGTAAGGTGACCTATAGCTGTTAACTTCTATGTCATTTGGTTCTGGTGGAGAGGTGTCTCATTGACATTTGTATCACATCTTCTTATTTAACGTAAGGTGACCTATAACTGTTAACTTCTATGTCATTTGGTTCTGGTGGAGAGTTGTCTCATTGGCAATCATACCACATCTTCTTATTTAACGTAAGGTGACCTATAGTTGTTAACTTCTATGTCATTTGGTTCTGGTGGAGAGTTGTCTCATTGGCATTTATATCACATATACTTACTTAACGTAAGGTGACCTATAGCTGTTAACGTCTATGTCATTTGCTTCTGGTGAAGAGGTGTCTCATTGGCATTTATATCACATCTTCTTATTTAACGTAAGGTGACCTATAGCTGTTAACGTCTATGTCATTTGGTTCTGGTGGAGAGGTGTCTCATTGGCATTTATATCACATCTTCTTATTTAACGTAAGGTGACCTATAGCTATTTACGTCTATGTCATTTGGTTCTGATGGAAAGGTGTCTCATTGGCATTTATATCACATCTTCTTATTTAACGTAAGGTGACCTATAGCTGTTAACTTCTATGTCATTTGGTTCTGGTGGAGAGGTGTCTCATTGGCATTTATATCACATCTTCTTATTTAACGTAAGGTGACCTATAGCTGTTAACTTCTATGTCATTTGGTTCTGGTGGAGAGGTGTCTCATTGACATTTGTATCACATCTTCTTATTTAACGTAAGGTGACCTATAACTGTTAACTTCTATGTCATTTGGTTCTGGTGGAGAGTTGTCTCATTGGCAATCATACCACATCTTCTTATTTAACGTAAGGTGACCTATAGTTGTTAACTTCTATGTCATTTGGTTCTGGTGGAGAGTTGTCTCATTGGCATTTATATCACATATACTTATTTTTATTCAAACATAATTTGGAAAAAGAAATTTCATACAGGAAGGCATTTACAAATTGAATTGTAAAAAGATGGTTCACAAAGTTTGTTCTTATTTCATTTAAACGCGTTTGTAAATAAACTCCTGCTAGAATACCGTAAAGTGTACGTAGTAATGAATTTAGACCATAAATATTAATAAATACAATTGAAAACAATAGTTTTAGTCGTTGATATTTACATAGACGATATATGAATACATTGTACATATTTGTACAGTGCGATGAACGGCTCCGCATACCTATACACTGATTTATAGAAGGAGTAAAAATAACAATCTCTCCCTATACAGGTAAACCGTTAATGCATTTGAATAAGAAACAAATTTACATCCTTAAACCAATCAATGTGAATCATCTATCGAAATATTAAGAGGTGAATCGGATCAATTTTACAATGACAAACATTTAGAAAACGTTAAAGTTTTCGATTTATTATTCCTTCTAAAAATGGAAAATGCTGGATACAAAGGTAGGTATTATGACAGATATAATTTGAAACACGAAAATTATTCTAATTTATTCATGAATTGTTTTATTTATTTTCCTTTAACAATAAAAACTAGTACGTATGTTCTCTGTCTTACAAATATAATCATGTTAATTTTTCTTCATCTATGAATTCTAACAGGAGGAGGACAATGATAGATGGCTGTTTAACGTCCAGCGAAAAATTTAATGCATATTCATGACGAGAACATGTTTATGTGATATCCTTTATGAATAAGAACCCTGCTTGATACTAGACACTCTGAGTAGGTTTGTTAACGTGCTAGTTCACCGCGATCCGCCGCCGATGTCACCCTTCAAAACTGACATGGTATTCTTACTCTATGCCAACCAATCGTTGCTCTTACTAGCTCATAAAAGCCGTCTGCTTATCGAAGAAGCAGCAAATATCAGTTGTCAAGTTTTTGAATTGACATGGGCGGGGATCGAACATTTGACCTCTCGCAATTAAGGCTAGCAACGTACCACCACCGATTGGGTAATTCTATTATTATAGGAAGTTTCTTTTCATTCAACTGGATTCGATCGCTAGGCCTAGCAGAGTAACGTGCAATAAATAAAGTGAAAACATACACATGAAGAAAATAGATCGTACTTTCCTGTAGCCCTTTTCACAAAAAATCTTAAGTGTAAAATTAATCTTACGATAAAAATATTTAGTTGAATTGTTAAGGAATATTTTAGACTTACGATAAATTTTACACTTAAGATTTTTTGTGAAAAGGGCTACTGATTCTTACAGTTTTCTAATTGACATCAGTATATTCCCAAAGCATTTTTCATTTCCGTTTCAAATACATTGTAACTGAACATTCAGGGTGTTTTGCGATGTTATTATTGTAGGATAAGCAAAAGCTCGCAATTTAAATAGTGGTAGCATTATTTGCATGCAATATTTTTATTTATTTTGATTTTTGCAAAAGTTAATTTAGCATGTTTGTCTATTTTCAACAATGGTAATAATATTAAATGCATGTGTGAATTTCTGAATTTACAATAATTTACAGTAATTTACTGTTTTGCATATTAACAACATGCTGTGTAAACCAACATTTAGTACAGAATTACTATCATATGAGTATGTTAGGATTTTCTGTTATTTCTTTTTTTTTTCTTAGTCTATTGATCGAAATTAAAAGGGGTGGTTGAGAACTTCCCCCTCCCCTTACAAAAAAAATATAATACTAGTATAACCCCGTCTCTTCCTATCATAAGTCAATAACATCGCTAGTGGTTATCTGATGTCATTTTTGTTTATTGGCGGTTTTGTTGTTGTTGGTAGATCTTTGAAATTTTCGGTTGAATTATTTTATAGTTTCCGGACGTATTTGACATATTTTACAGACACTTGTTTATTGTGTGTTGAAGACTGGATATTGGGCAAAATATGTTTTGTTGTTATTTGTAAAGATGGGTTGTTGTTTCATTGACTTACAACCGGTATCTCCATTCATCTATATAACCTATCATACATGTAATAAGGGTATGAAAATGGATGGTGAAAGACGAGCCATACATTTATAAATTGGATTGTTCTGGAAAAATAGATTATATTAAGTGTACCACGTTTGCTTGCGAGAACTTTTAACTGTTTAACAATAGTATTGTAAATATAATATGTCAAACTGAAACTGTAAATGATCAAATACAGTATCGTTTTTAGTACTTGCAAATTAGCGTACTTTTGATAAAGAAATAGACATATAAAATAGTTACTTCAAGATTAGAACTGTAAAATTATGAAACCTAACTTAAATTCATTTAGAGAATTACCAAAAATGACTCTAAAGGATTTGGTCCATTTTTAATATTCCAAAGGTACTCAAGTCTTTACTATTATCAAAATGACTGGATGCAAAATGTGAAGTGTACGTCTATGGACCCTTTCGAAATGTTAACCGCGTTGATTGATTTCTTGAAATTACAAAATGTGTGGCATTTCCTAATATAATTATGTCTGGTTAACGTATAAAATTAGATTAACGGGACTGCGCATTTGTATTTACACTCCCTACACAGCCCAAAAGCCCACTCAGGTAAATAGCACGTGACTTATCCGCCGACAAATAAAATCCAGGAAACCATACGTCTATTCACCACTCTACCTGCATGCGAGTACTGTAAAAGTATGGAGCATGTGCCTTAATGATAGCGCCCTATAAGGGCTTCCAAATGTGTGTTCAATTTCAGTAATACATATTAAGGTACAAGTATTTTAAAGTTGCATTGCATATCAAAAACCACCGTAAAATAAATGTAAAATTAATATTAAACTAAATTGACCCAGAAACCGCAAAAAAAAAGATAAGAGAATAACAAGGTCACATACTAGTATATGGGTGTGGAAAGGTCACCTCAGGGGCGGATCCAGGATTTTGGAAAGGGGGGCGTAGTATGTAAAAATCGCCGAGCGGAGCGAGGTGAAAATTTTTTTGGACCTTTTTTGGGCTACAAAACAAAAAATATGTGTAAAATGCACATTTTTAGTGACGGTTCCTAACGTGGGGTATGTATATTTTATAGTTAAAGTGTAAGCTTGGGTTGGACATTTTTGATGCCGCATCCTCCCAATTAGTTGTCTATTATAAAATGATTGAATGGATCTAAAGCTATGTACTAATATATTTGATGTGGGATTTGTCAGTAAAAAATGGACATGGAAAATTCTCGTTTGTTGTATGGTTAGTTAGCATAACCTCACAGATTACTTGTTGTAAACATGATATACGGCTATTCAATGAAGTTTATAATACGACCGACACGAACAAAGACAAACAAGCAATTTTTATCCAAATGTTTGGTTGAAATGTTTCACTCAACAAGGGAAGTGAGGGGTTCCAAATCAACCAACGGCTACGAATGAGTCTGAAAATCAAATGACAACGAAGTTGTGAATGACGGTCGACAAATGGAGACATAAAGGCCACACCCAGCAGGCAGGTTGCAGTTGGGCCTTGAAAAAAGTATTCAGTATATCAGTTCGGCGAAACAGACATTCCGGTCAGATATGGGATTTACATGCAAACCCCTCAAAAAAAATTACGCATGTTTTTTATTCACCATGTTCATTTAATGCTGAATAATTCTGTTGGATTTTTTTTTCTTATAGCAAAAAGGGGACACGATAATTGTTTTCATTACAGATACGGCCAGAATTTTTGTTTAAGGCAAAAATCAGGGTCAGAATTTTTTCTCTAAGATATCTCAGACTGCCCTATCAAATCAAATGGTCCGTACCTTAGACTTTAAACATATCTAGAGCTTACTGACTGGGGATCATTATTCAGCAATGTTATTAATTGGCTGGGGCGTGTGGGGTTAAACATATTTTCGTAGGTAAATAATATTGCCGTGGAACTTTTTTTTTTCATGAGAGTGTAATAGAGTATTACTTTCTGTTGAGTGGAAATATGAAATAGAAGTCAATACGTTCTTGCTCAATCCTTTGTCGCTTTGAAGGTGTCATGCTTGTCATCCTCCGCCTAAGCAATGTGTTGCTGTTATTTGAATTTCAAAATGACTGAGTGACGTTTCAAACGTACTGATCAACTCCACCGTAGCGAAACACATGACTGACATAATCAATAATATATTACAGTAAATACGAGCGAAAAATATCATTATAAGTAAAGAATTGTCGCTTAAAAATTAAATACACGACCGGGAAATGGCAAAGTTCACGAAGTCAAGTCTGATTCATCATTTTACAAAAAAAAAAAAAAAAAAAGTTCAAGCAAAGGGGGGGGGGGGGCGTACGCCCTCTACGCCCCCCTCTGGATCCGCCACTGCACCTAGCTACTTATACGTATAAGGAATTTGAATAAATAAGTGATTAATAAAAAAAGACAAAAAGATATACAATGTATAAATCTTGACAACTTGGTAAATATTTGCAAAGTCAATAAATGCTCTTCTGTATAGAACATGTAGTTCAATATATCTGTATGTAGGTTATCTACAAAAGAGCCTTAATAAGAAAGGTTTAAAGATATGTTTCATAATGAGGTCGTTTATCGGTAACAATATGCGTAAAATGTAAAATCGGGAAAACTTCAAAGAAAAACACTCTTAGTACACTTATCGAGATTAAAAAAGAGTGGGCATTCAGATGGTCTCAGATGTAAAAAAAGTTTGCTTTCGCCATGCACATGTATGAGGGTTTGGATGGGGATTTACAAAATAGAGAAAAATGGGCGAAAAATATAAACAATAGAGAAAATGGACCAAAAACGTAAAGAATAGAGAATAATGGGCAAACATATATAAGAATAGAAAAAAATTGCTTAAAAAAATAAAGAATACTGATATGAAGGACCTCCCATCCGCACCCTCGTGTGTATTTGTCTGTCTCGCGTCAATAACCTTTTCAGTGGTTGTATTTTAATCGTAATTGTCTTTATAATTTTGCTCTTTAGAAATTTTGGTTTTTATGGTTTTGTTATGAAATATTCACGTTTATATTCGACTCGTTCCGATTCAGAGCTTGGTTTGTTGTGTAAACACCAGGCCCTGTCTATAACTGTTATACTATTATATTATATTGACTTTACATTGGTTTGATTTGATTTTATTTTTGGTGTTTTAACGCCACTTTTAAGCACCGCTTTTGGGTTATTTCATGGCGGCCAGTTTTTATTGGTGGAGGAAACCGGAGTGCCCAGAGAAAACCACCGACCTTCGATAGAAAAACTGACAATCCTAGTCAAATAAGATTGAAGTCGAGTACACCCGCACGAGCGGGGTTCGAACTCACAACCTCAGTGTTGACTGGCTAGTGATTACAGTAGTAACTACTTAGACCACTAGGCCACCGAGCCCCCCCAACTTTACATTGGATTACTTTCTCATTGTCGTATATCCTATATACATGTACATGTATCAATTATTCGCATTGATAACCTGCATGTACATTAATTAAAACCATTTTATTTAAATCATTTTCAATTATCCAAATACCAATTA